CTATGAACCGGTGCCTGGATGGAGCAGGGACATCCTAGCAACAGCGCCATTCATTTGGTCACGCGTGTGCACTCCTTGGTATGAACGCCTGCCAAATTGATAGAATTCGCCCCCAAATTAACAACAATTGAAAGGCCCAAACCTTTGAGTTTCAAACCCTGAATTCTGAAATGCAAGGGATCCTTGAGGCCAAAGGTCTATGACCTATGAGTCTTGAAACCCACATGATTCTGAGCTTCTAATGCCTAAACTAAGTTTTAGATCCCAAAAGCCTCTACGATGAACTCAAAGGACCGAAAATCCAAAACCTCAAGCCCCAAAACTCCACAGGATTTTCATGGGGTTACAAGGTTTTCGTGACCCGAGGCATGAGTCTCATTTTCACGGGGCTTGAAAAATCAATACCACGGCCTCCTGGAATTTTCATGTTTTTCACGGTATTTTCGCGGACAAATGGTGTTTTCGCACGTACAAATCACGGTTTTCCACGGTATGTCGCGGCGCATGCGGAAACAAAATTCTATGAGGTCTATTGAGAGTGGATTTTGGTACCTTTCGCGTCTTTTCAAGGCAATCCCACCCACAACATACAAAGATTTGTTCACCTGTGCACTTGAAGAGGTGTTCTTGGGGCAAGGCTTAACAATGTGATTTCTTCATACTTTTAGGCAATTCCACGTTCTCAGTTTGAAAGGACTGGATATCAAAGAACGTTTGTTGAGTTCAATTCTCACTTCCTGAACGCCTGGAGTTTCATTTCTGTAGTTATATATCATAAGGCCGCCAATTAAATAGCAGCTTCAGGTTCCACACGTATATTGCCATAATTTTCGCGTAGGTAGCCAGAAATGGGCTGGGATGCCATCAACAACATTCCTGCAGCTGAAATCAGACCACTGCGACGCTAAATCACTTAGTACGCGTCGCTGTAAAACCCTGAAAACAAAACGTGAAAATGCGAACATCGGTGAACACTTTAAACACAAAAAACATGAAAAAATCAAAAACCATCAAATATAAAAAAACCGTTCGCGCATGAATATACCGCGGTGTTATTCATGTTTTCTCAAGCCCCATACAATCCCCTTGAAGCGTCACGCCATGAAAGACCCGTGATATACATATGTATATATGTCGGTTTTCCGAAATGTCTTTTGCGTGTGAAGTTCACTATTTTTGGCTCAGTTTCCTGGATTTCCGGACCTTTGGGTTCATGGAGGTTCCGGGTGTAAAACCAATTTGGGGGGTTCGAAGTTCATAAACATGATGTCGGCTTAATCTCATATGTCTTTGGCCTCAAGATTTTTTCTGCGTTTCGGCATTCATAGATTCTGTCGATCTTTGGGGTTTGAAACTCATAAGATAGTGAGCGGCCTTAAAGCTTACAAATTGTTGGCGTCTAAAACTCTTGCCATAGATGTCCTGGGTTTATCTTGAATAACTATTATGCATTTTCGTTTGTTGCATATTTATTCATTCATATGTGTGTGTGGGTTTCAAATTCATCGGTGGCGTTTTTGTTTTTTCACGCGCAGTTCAGCTTCGAACACATTAACCCACACTGCATGGGTGAATAACCGTGAACATGCCCAAATTTACGAGCGCACATGGACGCCTACAAATTGTTTCAAAAAATTGACAACCATAATTTGAATGAACTTGCAGGAGTTTTTTGCCAATGTCACGTTTTCTCAGGCTCAGGTTTCCACAATAAAAATGTCCTGCGAAACAGGTATATATTCCTCAACGTTGGTGAGGCCCACCTTAAAAATGCAAGAACTGCATTTGAAAGAATCAGTTACAACCGCGGAGGGCGGCCACGCTGAAAATAAACGTTTGTTTCCGCCCTGGTAATTGTATGGAACAGGGACATCCAGTCAACACATATCAACAGGGCAATTCATACGGTGCACATTTGTTGGTTTGAGTCACCACCAAATAATCCAAATTGACTAAAATCGCTTCGCACTTAGAAACAATGATAAGCACTATTCACTATGCCCTACAAAAAAATATCTTTGTCGAAACTATATTGCTGCATATTGTTTCCACGAAATGGTGAGCAAGTATGAGAGGTCCATCCCTGAATGCTCCAAACTAACCGTTGCCAAGCGCCCAAATCCGATTGTTCAGAAGACGGGACGCAAATACGCAACTGCAAAACAAAAAACACACGCGAATACTATATACAGATACAAACAGATTTTCTGCGCTACTTCGATGTTGGTAGTTCCAAGGTTTGATTGCTTGAATCGGTAAAGTTGACATTCCACGCGCTAAGGTCCATATTTCAAACGCAAGGTGGAAAACCGATTAAAACCGCAGTTTTTTTGCCGCGTCGAATTTGATTTGGGTGCAAATAGGCCACCCAAGAGCAACGTTTGTGAGCAAAGTTCGTGTATTACTATATACTAACCCCACACGTGAAATCCAAATAGAATACGGAACCAAAAGCAACATGGAAGCCTACAATATAAAGACTTAAGAATACCTCATTTGTGATTTTTTGACGGAACAACACATACAGTAGAAAAAACGGGTGAGAACCAACGAAACCCAATCTCAAAAAGAATTTACTTTGTTTCACGCATGTAATCTGCAGTTTTTTATAAGTGGCAACCCAATTGGCAAAGAAACTTTGGACCCTCGTAAGGCCAAGGTCGAAACCGATAGATTTTGACATGGACCGAATGAAAGGCAGCGTATTCTCCAGAGTATTTGCAGGCAACAACTTTCGATTAAACCAATGGAGATGCAATATAACTACGCCTCAATTTGTTTAACTTGCAACACGCAAGAAAACGCTTCAAAAATTCACCACCCGTGAACTTACACACTCCCTCAGGCAAAGAATTTAATTGAAATTACGATGGGCCTTGGAGGCCCAAACCTTATTCACTTTAGAGCAATTTTCCGGTTTGGAGGGAAGGCGCTCACCCTACAATAGTGAAAAAATGATTTTCACGCACTTTCACGGCCAAATGGCCCATTTGACCTTACTTGGGCCCAAGTAGGTACAAATGATCATTCGTACCACGTACCAACTTAGTTGGTACAAATGACGCTCTAGGATAGCCATTCATAACCCTTCGAGCCTGTTGGAATATGTTCAAAAATATGTTGCAATCATTTACAAACTGTTCACATTTGTTACGATAGAATGACACTCCCAACCTCCAAGCGTAACCATAAAAAGGTCTACTGCCCAGGATGCGTGAGCATTTACATTCAGCTTTCTTCTTTCACTTCGCATGACAGCTAGTTGAGCAAGGTTGCGTGTTGCGCTGTGGAATTTGGCAGAGCGCATCAGGAGCAAACCACATCCACCCTGTATGTGCCCACCCAACCCTTCCAAGAACATCCTTCTGGGGAAGTCTGGGGAAACACCAGCAGGTACACCCTTGTTATGGGTACTCAATAAAACCTAGAGTATTCCAGGATACAGTTCTAGAATCTTTTCCTAAGTGGAGCAGCCACATCCCCCCACTATGTGGTCACTGGGAGACCATGAGCCACCCCCAGAAACCTTTAACCTTTCTGTGGTTTATGAGCCACCCAACCACTTCATAACTTGAGGGGGCGCAGCGCCGCGCCAGAACCTTCAAAGCGGCTGCCCGCGCAGCCAAGAGATCTCGCGTTGTCAAGAAGTGTTTGCCGCGCAAGGCAAAGCGCAAGACTGCAGTGAAACCAGCGGCCGCCCCCATCCAGTATATCCCCCAGAACTTCAGCCATTCAAGGAAAGGCAATGCTCGCATCATCCAGCAAACGACGGCAATGCAGGAGTTAGACAGGACCTTTCTCAGCAAGAGTCCAGCGTTTGACTCCTCATCTGGACGCTGTCGTCTCAAGTCCCAGGGTTGTTTTTTGACGCAGTTGTTGATGCTTTTAAAATTTTAGCTTTTTCTTTCCTGCTAGTGTATTTTTTGGGGGTCCTGTAGATGAGCAGCATGTTGCGTAGTATCTGAGGCTTCCATCAGCTGCCGCCTAGACATGGTCACACATCCTGGAGAAATCGCCAGCTTTCTTCAACGCCATCGTTGAGAGCCGCCAGCGCAACGCTTTCTCGGCGTACGCGTTTCAACGTTTCGAAACAATTCGCAAGCAGCTCACTGACAAGACTCCCTGAGGGCAGCGTGGTTGAGGCTGCTCCGGGATATCTGTGAGTTTAGCGAGTACCGTAGCACCGCTCGATGACATTTCGGGAACGAGATCCGAGATCGGATATTTCAATAGAAGCCATTGAGGTTAGAACAGCGAGCGATGAATGACATGGAAAGCACACGCAGGTCAAACAAGCAGACAAAACACATGTTCACGCAAAATACTCCATCTGAACATTTCATGTCAGTTCAGTGTTGCACTCATGTTTTTGTTTTCTAGTTATTGCAGATGCTTTTGCGTGTTCTTGTTTTTTCAAAGTGATTTCTTTCAACTGGATGCACTGGGCCATCAAAGTTTGATCCCAGCTGTGTGATTTTTGTTCTAACATTTTCCACATGTTCAGCGCTCATTGTTTCCGTCTTGCAGCCCAGAATTTGGCGCTACAAAAACCTACAATGATTTTGTGATGTTTGGGGAAGGGTTTTTTTTGGGATCTAGAAAAAGCGTTATACAAAACATGTTGCTCTCAGCCATGGCGTACATGGCATTGCGGGAATCAGGGGTTGCAGACAAGGTCAAAAAACAAATGGCGATGGATGCCGATGGAAAAAATGTGCAACTTAGCTGTCCAGACATGCTCAAGAGGCTTATGTTGGACGTTGGGGGGGTTCATTTCATATGAATTGCCGAAAGGTCTATGTCCTCCAAAATATATTCAAATAGCCCAAGGGGTGTCCACATTCTATATCTACAAAACGGCATCCAAGTCCCCCCCATAGCAATAATGCCATGCGTATGTTGAAGTATTTTTTGCCAATCTCTGACGCACTTTGCCATACTTCCAACAGCTTGTACTTGCGCTTCCAAGCCAAAGCTCATTACGTATTCCACGCGCACAGGTCGGAGATTGTCTCGGCGACTGCAGGGGGACCTTCAAAGCCTCGAGCAACTTCGGCCAAAACTGCTCTGGAAGCTTCTCAGTTGGCAGAGCCGGAGACTTCAAAAGAGGTCAGTTCAAAGCCAGAGCCGGCAGATCCACCTTCAACGAAAGGCGTGCGGAAGACGCAGGCGGAATCTGAGGCGAAGGAGGTGCCGAGGCACTTCGGACGCTGGGCATGATGCCATTGGTCCGGTTCCATCTTGGTGGTTCCATTTCGTCATATTGAGGCAGAATAGATCATAATATATCATTATATCATAATTATGCAAGCTGCAAATTATGCATAATTTTGTTTTGAAGAAATGTCCACCTGCCACCCTGAAGGCAAGTGAGCTTCTCTCCTGCAAAAACCGGTGCAGCTGGTCATGCAGCTGGTGAGACGGCTGTCTAGACCCTCCAGGCCTTTGGCCTTTCACTGTTTTTGATCGAGATCTTCGCCTACAACCGAAGCACCAGGATGAGGATGGACCAAGCAAGCACCTGGGTTAGCGGGCAACAGGACGCCCAACAAGGACGTTGCGATGATGCCACACGACTTGGCAACGACCACATGATCTTGGACCATGAGCTCGATCCGCGGAATAGAGCTGAATGTATGGGAACCGCTCCTCAAAGTACCCACATGAAGTTTGTAGCTGTAGCCGTGCGAAGAGAAGCGTAAGAAAAGGATTCTCGCAGTTTCCGTGGTAGTTCATTATATTATACTGTATGATATAATATGATATATCACAACATATTATATACTATATCTATTATAGTACTTGTTGTTTCTTATATATTATACTGTATATGGGTGAAGAATAATCCTTTGAAGGGCTGCATGAAATGGCATTGTTGTATGTATTTGCTGTTCACTCGCATCAAGCACCATTGCAAGAAGTATTTCGGGGGGGTGTCGACTTGTATGCGTCTTGCGGTTTCATCACTGCTGCAACTAAATACAAGTGGTTCGAGACCTTTTTAGAAGTACTCCCGTATTGTTTGGGGCTAGGGTTTGGTCATCCAAACATTCCCACCGATACATTGCATAGATCATGTAGAAATAGCACCATCGAGTACTGAGTGCCTCCGCTGGTGCTCTAGATTTCATGGATTCTGGCCACAATGCTTCAGCGGTCCAGTTGATGGCTGGAGTCTGAGATAGGCACCTTGCTACTAGTGGCAACGCCAGGGCTTCTAGTAGCGATGCCCTTGTTACTAGTAGCTTCGTGTTACTACATCCGAGTGTCCTGTCCATGGCAAGATGTCGCTTGATGAGGCCAATGTCAGATCCAGCTCCTTCCAACCAGAGCAGCTCGTCGTTGGCAAAAGATAATAAAGATATCCAACGTTTTGAATCTCTTACGGCCGGACATCAGACCTGTCAGAGTGCAAGATATTTGGTTGCATGGTTGCTACTTGGTGATTCACTCCTTGGAGATCTCACAGTCTCAATCCTCACCCCACTTTATTGTGTGTTTTCCAGCGAATGTTCTTCGTGTTTCATCGGAAAACAAAGCATCAAAGAGATTCTGAAACACCTTCACCTTCCATCATCCAGGGAGGGCTCGACGGCAGAATGGCTCCAACACACCTTTCATATTTGCTCAGGAGAAGACCAGCGTGCCGACACCTTCCACGATTTGCTGTTGGCCCTTGAAGCTGATGGAAAAGAAACGGTTTCAGGTCTGTTCCTGAGATGTGCTGGCTTCGTAAGTCTTAAAAGATGTGTATTAAATTGTATTTAATAAGGAGACCTCCGAAGAAAACTCAACAAAAACTCATTGGGTTGGAACCCTTGACGTCTTGGCACTGTGCTCACGGATATGTGGACTGTGGTTTCAGGAGTTCAGAGCTGCACGGTCTGCTTCAGACAAGTTGGAATTGAGATACAGCACAATGATGAACAACAATGGTTCGTTCCCTGGGAAGCTATGCCTGAGGTGCTTGAGGCATCTCCATCTCGTTTAGGTATTCCAGAGTCGCATCCACACGTCGTACAGCTACAAGCAAGATTCTCTTTTGGATTTAGTAGCTGCACGGGTTGCAAATTCAACATTGCGGCCCGTTCCAGAGAGTCCCTCGACGCGATTGCGCAGACCGTCCTGATCCGAAGTTCGCAAGCGACGGCCTTGGAACCACCGAGTGACCTCGACCGAACGTCCCGGTCGGGTGCCGATGGCTTTGGGGACTCGGATGCTGCCAGCTCGCCGCACACAAGTGTCCCAGCCCCAATCATGCACGGGACAGGAAGCTTGGCAAACATGCCCACCCCACGGGCACCTCCACGTACACATCAGGAGAGGTTTGACATCGCTTCCAACTTTGAATCTGGAGGCCAATCTTTGTCAGCTGCAGAAAGGATGCCCGCTGAGATACTTGCTGCATTATTGGATGAGCCGAAGGTCCCAGAACCCTTGACACTTCAGCATGCCTGGTTGCACCTACCACCTGTTTGTCCCATCTATCACCGCTGCCTTGTTTGCGTCGACAAACTTGGCCTCTCACTGAGACCATTGGCGCTTGGAAAATCATCGAAGTACAAGGCTGCAGAGCTGCACGCGAGTGGATTAAAAGTGCTGCACACTGAATCCCTCAGCTTTCCACTGTCATCAATTCTGGATGTGGAAGAAGCGTCAGAGATATCGATGCTTCCGCAAGGATTGGACGGAGCACAGCCTTCGGACCTTGCCATTCCAGACCGTACACAGCATTTGTCCCAGAACGGTGTGGGTGGCCGGAGGCACTACCTTCCCTTGGCACGATTCGTGTTTTCCCGCCGTTCGAGTAGAAGCGCCACAGCAACACAGCAAGAACGTCAGAGTCACAAGCACCCTGATGCTGCAATGATGCAGTTTTTTTTGTGTTCATGCCCTCTCCAAGTTTCGCAATCTAGATGACTTTGGTGTTGAATTAATCGATATTTGAAGCTTTTACAGTTACTCACTGTGAGGCAAAAGCCTAATCCTGAATTGGCTGAACGGCTCCCTGCGGCTGCAGCATACTTTGTCATCATCAAAGTTCGTGCTGGAGTGATTGGAAAGGTGCCTGGCCAGGAGCCACAGTCAAAATAGGCAGGTCATTTCATGTCAGTGTTCATGTCATTTCTATACTGTGTGGAGAAAGGGGGTCAGCAAAAATCGCTTATACTTATACGAAGTTAGTGCATCAAAAATACATTCCACGAAGTTCTGCGAAGGTTTCTGGAATTTCGTTGTACTGGCCCACCATTCCACGAACTGTCCACGAATAGCCTTGGGTTCTACGAATGTCCCACGCCTTCCACGATGTTAGTAGAATAGGTTTTTGCAAAACCCTTTCTGTGCACTACCCTTCCGTTTGCCTCTGAGTATACCAAGTACAGACTCTGACAGGGCATTTCACACCGGTGTGTACACGTGCCAGGCGTTTTTTACTGGTACCTGAAAAAAGTGCAATGTCATCATATTTGCAGGAGCGCTTGCCTCCCTGCATGCGTATGCGCGATTCACGCTGGCTCCTGAAAGAGCACGCGATTCCATTGGAAACTTGTAGAAGGTATACTTGAGTGCTTGAGTTCACACCGACGAAGCTAGTGCCTGGATGAAGGTCCTCCAATCCAGCTTGCGCTTGCCCTTTACAGCAAGCAAGAGGCACGGGAGTTCACAGGGTTGGCAGGAAAATTCGCATTGTTTTGTCCGAATATATCGTACCTTCACAATGCATCCAACGGGAAAGTTGCTGAACACCCCAAAGCCACACCTGCTTCTTGCTTCCCCAAATGCTCAGCATGGTTGACATCACCCAAGCGGCAGGTGTCCAAGCTCATCGCTACAGTGCTCTCTTTCAAGTCGTGCCTCACTCTTCAGTCGAGCAAGCAGTGGCACTGTTCAGCTGTGCAACGTGTGTGTGTGTGTGTGTTTGCGTGTGCAGATTTCTCGGTGTAGATTTCGCGAAGTGTTCATGGGTGTGTTTGCCTGCGAAAGTTTGAGAGGTTGCAGTTCTGGTCCGTAAAAGCAAAACGCGTGCCGCAAAAGTGTTGCAGAAGGAATGTGCGAAAGAAGAACCCAATAGAACCAATTCTTACTCAAGTTGATTGTCTTGCAACTTACACCCCTTCTGAGCTTTGGATGGCCCACGATCCAGAGGTGTTGGATGTATGTGGTCTTATGGGCCCACCAGCAAATGTTTCTAACCTTAGCTAATGGCATCTTCAGCAGCCTTATGGTCGGTTCTCCCTCAAGTAGAATTGAATTGTGTGTGTTATTTTGTGTTTTCTGGTAGCTTTCGTGGGTAGCTGGGGAGGCACTGGTGTTTTGACTTGTTGGTCATAGTGCTTTGTGAATCAAATCCGTTTCGTTCTTGGAGCAAAAACTGTATTTCAGATGCAGAGATGCTTCACACTGCAGGGGACAAGAAAGAAATAAATTCAAAAAAAACATAGGTGCTGAATCAAGACTTGCATGCTGTGCTGTCCGAGCGTTTTGCTTGTCAGAGAGCTTGTACGTTACCTTTCAGAGAGCTACAGTACATTGCTTGTGCAGGTACCAAGCTTCGACAGCATCGGCCAGCATTCTTTACAAGACGCGAGCCATTCATGACAGGCGAGCATGTTTGTGGAAACCAAACATCGATCCGACTTTCTTCCTTAGTTGCAGCGGGATGTGTAGTGAGTGTCCTCCCTCACCGACTCTTTGATCAAACTGCTTGATACTAACGATCTCGCGGTCAAATTCGTTTGGCAGCCTCTTCCAGGTCAAAGATACCACATGAAGAGGTGCATTTCAAGCATGCAACTGCAACCGCCCCAGATGGAACAATTCACACAGGAGAAGAAAGATAAGACAGGATTACGTGCACATGCGTGCACAGCCTAACTACGCATGTGTGTAGGTCTTTGTACCAGTGTGATTGTGATCAAATACGCCATCGCCAAGCTGGGAGATGTTCCTAGTAGCTACTTGCTCCTAGTAGTACGGCCAGGAGCCCCTAGTAGCGTCCTTGCTCCTAGTAGCGATGCCAGGAACCCCTAATAGCTTCTTGTTGCTAGTAGCGTCCTTGCCGGGCCGTTTCGGACCGGTCTCCCAAAGGAAAGAAAGTTCCATGCATCGCTACGAACGGAGCAAGGACGCTACTAAGTTCCATGCTTGTGCAGGCAGATGCTCATCTACCAGGAAATGCAGCCAGGCCACATTTGCGTACTGCGCAAGCTGCACAGCAGTTTGGCAGAATTTGCCCCTTGTGTCACAAAGATGAGAGCTTCGGCTTCAATACCACTACTGTATCATTGACTGCCACCTCGGGGGACTTACACAGCAAGGATTCGAGAACGGCACACGAACGTAGCCAAGCATAGCACGTGGACGTAGCCAAAAACGGCCATACAATTTGGATTGACATATGAATATATTATACTATATTGATGATTTGTGGCATTACCATGTATCGCATGGCAGCTGTTATTGGTATACAGTCCTATTATGTCCTATTTATGTATGGAAGCTGACTGACACCTTGGATTTTCTTCTTTTCTTCCCACGTTGACCTTCCTCGCGCACTTTCGTTTAACTCCATAGAACCCCCTGCCGCTAGAATCCCTTGGAATGTGTGTCCTTCTCATTAGTATTCCATTGTTTGACTCAAACAAGCTCACTTCAAGCTGCGCCAGTCAAGCTCGAATCCTCACCAACGATGATGGAGAGGTGTTTTGGTACGTGCCCAAGCGGCAGGAGCTTTGAACTCATGTCGTGATCCCATTTTGTTTGAGATAGAGCAACTTGCACGTGGAAATATGATTCGCGGAATCTCAAGGGACACGGCCTTACTTGAAGGACACTGGCTCTTTGAGCAAGCCGGAGTTGAGGCCAGTTGCACACAAAAACTTACGCTCGGCTGGTCCATGTATCCTGCAGCATCCTGCAGAAGCCTTGTGAGTTGGCAGGCCTGAGCCGCCTGAGCCCTGCTTTGGTCGTGATGCAGATGCCTTTACAATCTCGATTTAGAACAGAGCAGCCCTTTGAAGCGAGAAATAGGCTGGACTGCTTGGCCCCTGTCGCGCGTGTGGGTTTCAATTCCTTGGTGGGCATCATTTTTGAGCATCTAACTGTCAGTCGGTTCCCCTTGAAGATCCTTGAAGAATTGGGTCAAGCACAATCAGAATTATCCGGCCTTAAACAAATTCTGAGCTTCTTTGTGGCCCAGAAGCTTTGTATCACAGCCAAGCCACGCACTTTTGCTCAAACACAGCTTCAGCTTGCACCGTCATTGGGACTCAAAAAGATTCCTTGTGGCAGATGAATCCATGGGCTTTTAAATTGAGAACACTGTATAGCAGGGTGCCTCAATGTCAACTCCACGGTGAAGTATGTCTTGTGCAATGAAATGGTTGGAGCACTCTTTCAGTACATTGGCAATGCCACAATGCATTCAAACGTGTTCAGACCTACAATACAGGTCGTTGAAAGGAAGCTGGAAAGAAGCACAAAATGCCACTCTTCAATAGGTAAACATACAGATATGTTTCGCCTCCAGACTCGAACACGGCAGACTACGGCACACCCGTTCGACACTGGGACCCATGGGCCAGTCCACCGGTGATTAGCCGATTAGGCCGGCATGCAGGCCGTATGGACTGAGGAAATGTCATGCCGTTCATGCGGTTTTTTGATCAAGCAAAACAGGAGAGAGTCAAGCCTTGGCCTACATTCAGTTGATCTCACGCTCCTACATTGTGCGCAGCGGGCTTTGATATGCTTGATCATTTTGTCGATGTTCTTCTCCGGGCTGTGAGTTTTTGCAAAGCACCATGCGTGGCGTGAGCTTTTACAAAGCGCCAGACGATGGAGCCGGTGTCAAGCTTTCCAGATTATCCCACGACTGTTCCACGGCACCTTGGCCAGGTGCAAACACCTTTATGACGCCTCTTATATATTTGCTGTTAACCTTGATTGGAACTAGCAAGATTTAAATCAGTTTGTCTACAAGTTCCACGTCTTGCAGGGCGAGTTTGCTGGTGTAGCTATATTCATTGAACATCATGCCAGACATGCACAGACATATTATTCAAGCCTGGCTCTCCTATGGTAGCGAAGCTCTGAGGCAAGCTGCTCAGGACAGGGTTGGCGTCGGGCCTGCACAGGAGGAACACCGAGAATTTGGAACTCCGAATTGTGCTGACAGAAATCCCTAGTAGCGAACCTTGCTCCTAGTAGTAACAAGTGCATCGCTAGTAGTAACAAGTGCCTTACTAGTAGTAACAAGAAGCTAGTAGAAACAATAAGCTAATAGCTTCTTGTTCCTAGTAAGGCCAGGAGCACCTAGTAACGATGCCAGGAGCCCCTAGTAGCTTCTTGTTCCTAAGAAATCCAACCCTGACCTTTGTCTTGTCATCTCTGGCCTACCAACCAACATGAGTCCCACCCACTCCGATGTGGCTCACCGGCACTACCGGCATATAAGCATATGTCTGAGGAGCCGCTCACACTACCACCTTCAGCATCTCCTGAATTGCAGGACAGCCATGAGCTTTCATGAAGGTCTTGACACTGCAACACGCAAATATGAGCAGCCAATAGAAGCGGTGTAGGCTTCCGCGATTGGTCACATGGCGGCACATTGCGTCACGACTCCGAATGGGTGAATGAAATACGTTCAATGCCTCGTACGATATCGTCGTCATGGAGCAGATACATAGGAGCACTTTACTCGATTGGTGCAAGAGAAGCGTGAGTTGAAAGACTATGCAGACCGTGTGACACGCGAGCTACGCAGGCGGGGGGAAATGTGTTACAGTAACAATGTTGCTTGATGCTTAGGCAATGAGCTAACTTGTATTGCTGGTTTGATGGTCTCTTCAGATGCTACACTGAAAGATCAAGAAAGATCATATTATTTACGAGATTCCTTTTTAGGTCCAAACGTTTGATCGTTCCTATTAAAAAAGGTGTAAGATCTTGAGAGGACATCCAACAAGATCCAAACAATCTTTGCATGCTGAGAATCTTTGGAGAGAGTTGAGAATTGCGCAGCTGCAGGTACCAGCAATCTCGGCCAGCACCTGCTGCCACACCGGAGGATGCTAAATGCTTAGACCAAGAAAGGAAATGTTTGCTTGCTGTCAATTATATATTTAACATTATTTGACTATGTCCGGCCCCCGGTCTGAGGATTTGCCCTTGCCACCATGGGCCACGAATATGCAGATGATGTCCCCATTGTTGTTCGCCTACGAGGAGAAATCCTTCGGACGACCTGTTCAACGTCGAATGGATCGAATCGTGTGGAGCGCAAGCGGCAGGAGCGCATCGCTGAGCTCGAAGCGGTCATTGAGCGTTCCGTCAGCCTGGCAGAACAGGTGGAAGCGCGTGGAATCGGGTCGGTCTTGACTCGCTTGGTTTAGTTTGCTCTATTGTGTATTCAGCTTAAGTGTTTGTTTTTGTCAGACTATGTTTGCAACACGCAACAAGATGCGACAAGCATTGAAGACATAGTATGGTCGCAGGCACAGCTGCTCGCAAAAGAAAACGATCAGCTGCGCGCCGAACTGCATGATCGAACAGCTCCGTGGCCTTTGAAGCGTCGCGACGTCGTCGTCCGAGATGTGTCGCGTCGCGGTATGCCGCGGTCCGCATGAAGCGTTGTTCAGATTTCAGTCCATGTCCAGATGAGCAAGGTCCAAAACCTTGCAGTACATGTTTAGTATAACAGGCTTTACGTTTTGGACGCAGCTCAGATGACTCAATTGTCAATGCATGTCATGCTGGGATCAGTCACTTGCCATTTCTTGCATTCCACTGAGCCTGGAAAAGCGGCGTTGACCGAGGAGCAGCTTCGGAATGCTCAGATCTTAGGTGGAACTCAAGGTCGCTCCGATCCGCTAGCTCCGTCGAAGAGTCGCCATGGCAGTTGAACTCGTCGCTTCACCCGTAGTGGGAAGAACAATTTTGGAATACCACCTTGAAAGCTTGCTGATTAGAACCCAAAGAATGGAGTATTCGACTGATGTTAAGGCTGGCCTCTCCAACTGAAAGATACTGAAAGCTGAATCCCCTTCGTCTCCAGGTGAGATTCAGAGCTTGAATGCCAAAGAACAGCAGGCCGGGCCAAACAAACCCTGAAAGAGTATCTTCAGAACTTCAGGCCCCTGAATGACCAGGCACATTTATGATTGACAGGCCCACATGATCTAGGATGATAAGTGTACAGCTTGTGTTTATGCCTTGTGATTCTCAATGTTTGTTTTCCCGAAGACCAACGAGTGTCAAGTAACTTGGACACTCTGAACAAGAGTGCATGCAGGATGTCCGTTTGCCTTTATCAGCTGCACTTGACATCCAAAACTGTTGACTAAAGATTATGAATTAGGAACATGTCAACTACTCCAAGATGTGAAAGTCGATGCGTTTGGATAAATTGTGCGTCCCAGCTTGGGGAAAGATTTTTGGAAGTCGATGCACAGTTGCGTCCTGCTGGTGTTTAGCAGATAGACCTTTTCTCAGAAGATGACTTTTCCATGCACATAGTGCACACCAGAAATCCAATAAAGCCGCCGCTAGGTTGCAAACTGGTTGTGACAAAGCGAGCGCTGTTGGTGTTCTTACTTCAAGTAGAGGAAGTGGTACCTGTGTGTGCTTTGCAGCCTGGGTTTGTGCGCATTGAAGCCTGCTGCTACTGCTGCTGCCTGGCTGCTGCTTGTTTGCTGCGGCTGCTGCTGCGGCTGCTGCTGCTGCTGCAGCAGCTGCTGCTGCTTGTCTGTTGCTGCTGCTGCTGCTTGTCTGTTGCTGCTGCTGCTTGTTTGTTGCTGCTGCTGCTGCTGCTTGTCTGTTGCTGCTGCTGCTTGTCTGTTGCTGCTTCTGCTGCTGCTGCTGCTTTGCTGCTGCTGCTGCTTTGCTGCTGCTTTGCTGCTGCTGCTGCTTGGCTGCTTGGCTGCTTGGCTGCTGCTTGTCTGCTGCTGCTGCTGCTTGTCTGCTGCTGCTGCTGCTTGTCTGCTGCTTGTCTGCTGCTTGTCTGCTGCAGCTGCTGCTTGTCTGCTGCTGCTTGTCTGCTGCTTCTTGTCTGCTGCTGCTGCTGCTGCTGCTGCCTGGCTGCTGCTGCCTGGCTGCTGCTTGTTTGCTGCTTGTCCGCTGCGGCTGCTGCTGCTGCTGCTTGTCTGTTGCTGCTGCTGCTGCTTGTCTGCTGCTGCTGCTTGTCTGCTGCAGCTGCTGCTTGTCTGCTGCTGCTTCTCTGCTGCTTCTTGTCTGCTGCTTCTTGTGTGCTGCTTCTTGTCTGCTGCTGCTGCTGCTGCTTGGCTGCTTGGCTGCTGCTTGGCTGCTGCTTGGCTGCTTGGCTGCTGCTGCTTGTCTTTGGCTGCTGCTTGGCTGCATCAAAAGAGGGGAGACATGTCATGGCGGAGCTGTGGCGGATGTACTTTGGTACCTCGTCCGGTACCTCGTCCAAGCCACCCCTTCGTTTCCTGCTCTCCAATGGCTGCAGACCTATATATATATGGCAAGCACAGGTCTTTGCAGTACATGGCTCAGCCATCGAAGGCAGCTGCATAGGAAAGGGAATATTGCAAAATCCATTTGATGGTCGTGGCTTGACCATTTGCTTACTTGAGCATGTGTCTTGAACCCTATTTTTACCGCAGCAGCAGCAGCAGCAGATTCAGGATTCCTTGCCGCAGCCTGATTTAGATCTTTCAGGCCGCGGCAAGGAATCCTGAATCAGGCTGCTGCCACAAATCCTCGACAGAGTCGGTTGCTGTGGTTGTGTAGGGATTCAAGACACATGCTCAAGTCAGCCAATGATCAAACCACAACCATCACGAAGCCACACTGGAGCATGCACATGGATTAGTATCAGTGCTTTGGGGAACCGTCACTTGGTGGAGTGGATCATACGGCGTCCCATGGTGAACTCAGTCAAGAAACATACCAATTCCTTCGTTTCCTGGTCATTGTTGGATGTGCGTCCACATGCTGGAATACAGTTTTCTGAGGCGTTCAAGTAAGATTAAACGATAGAAACAAACATAGTTTTATCGCTGCGTCCTGATGGTGATCTACATGTTTTTGCACTGACTTGTTTGACTTCCTGAATGCGCGGCGTCTCATGTGGAACTGGCGTGGTTTTTGAAATTGCTTTGACTTCTGCGGGCCGGTGTAGTTTGTTCGTTGGTTAAATCCGTTGCCTTGTTTGTTCTTTAGCCTTGAATCGCAAAGACTGCTTGCAGACACAAGTACATTCGCCCGGCTTCTCATGGTTGGATTGACCGATGGTGCAGATTGTATCAGGAGGAGATTCAAGAGCTGTACCGCTTGAGCGTTGAGCAGAACGAGGAAGGGACATTGTTATGTTCTTTCTTTTTATAGGCCGAATGGAGGGGGGCCTGAGCCTTAATGGTTCGATACATGTTTGGGGGATTGTTCAGTGGAAAGAGTCGTTTGTTTGTACCCACCTTTCGTTTGGTGCAGATACTGTATGATTTGCCCTGAAGAGAGTCAGAGACGGATGATGCCGGCCTCAACCTGCAGGCTTTGGCCCAGCAAAACCAGTTGCTGAAACTGCAATTGGAGCGCATGCAGTTGCTTGGCGGAAACGCAAAGTCCTCTCCATTCACTTTGCATGTCCTAGTTCTGATGAAAAGTCTGAGTCTGAGTCCTCAAATAGGATGGACGATTTTTCAAACCCATAGAGATAGGTGAACTGCTGAAATTCCGACCAGATATCTGGACTCGTGAAAACAACAGGCAGACCCTGGCTGCGGGGCGTCAGCAAGCGCAGGAGGCTCTATGTGCATACGGCAGTGGTTGGAAGAAGCAAGATTAACGAGAACAAGAAAGATGTTTGATGCATATTTGATTCGTGATAACTATGATAACTATGATTCTCAAAGGCAAAGGCCTTTTGCCGACGAAGAAGAATGAGTCTTGAGCAGTGCCCATCGTGTCCCGCCACTGAGCACCGGAGCTGCAAGCTGTGCAGGTGTACGTGAAAGCGCATGAGAATCAGAATGCATTGTCCGAAGAGAGGCAACGTGGTGAGGCGAGAGGCCCTTCGATACTTTGGACAAGTGGGTGCTTCAAGTGCAATTTGGGGGAGGCGATACTGTAGGGCATCAGGTCTGAGGTTGGTCAAACGACTACGGTTGATCTTAAACAGGAGTATGTAAATAGTTCACAACACATTAGTTTGCAAGATAGATATAGGTATAGGTATCAGGGTATCAGGGTAATTACCGGATCAGATTCGACTTCGCCGGATCAGCGTCAGTGATCAGCGTGTGGGATCAGATTCTAATTGGCCGGATCAGCGTCGTAGGATCAGATTCTAGCGGGACGGTTGGGATGGTCGGGACGGTGGGGATGGTCGGGACGGTCCGTGCACAGCCAGTTAGAACAACAGTAAGAATAGTTTTTATACGACTTCGTCGAATCAGCGTTAGTTAGGGATCAGCGTCGACAAGACGGTTGGTCGGGATGGTCGGGACGGTCGGGATGGATGAGACCTGCGTGACAAT